TCCAGTGAATTTTGCTAGGCTGAGCTGGTACCCTCATTCTCTTCAGCATCCATCAATGGTCCACTGTTGTGTTCCCAAAAAAAGCAAGCCGCACCCTTTGCGGGCATTAGGATCAACTGTAATTCCCATTTAGTTTACTTGTCTTACTCATTATTATTTACCGTGCCTTCCTTGCTTTTGTGTTGTTAGTTCCTCTGTTTTCCGTGACTAAGATGGATGTTGAATTTTTTGCAAATGGGACTGTTCAACAGATGGCTGTTCAGTTCATGCTCTATTGGATTGATTGTTTGGTCTTTGTGTAATTAGATTTTTCTGGTGCTTTGTATTATTTTAATGAATCCTTATTAATGGATGGGGCTAAACAAATAAGGCTTTTCTCAAGTGTAACAACTTTAAACAGTTAAGAGCATGCCTTCTTATCTAACAGTAGTTAAAACCATTTTGGCCCAAAAAACCATCTTCAGACTGTCGTTGTGCATGTGCAGGGAATTGTTTTGGATGCCATTATTTTTAAACACTTAATTAATTTGCTTCAAACCAAGATTATTTTCTTCCTCTATTGAGAATTATAAAACCTGTCAGGTCTGAGGCTTCTGTCTTTAGTCATTTTTTGGAATTATGCAAGTCCAGAATTCAAAATAGAACACATGGAGGCTCCTCGAGTCGGTTCAAAAATGGCAGAACTAATTCCATAGAAAGATTTCTCAGAAAAAGCTGACTTTGAAGCCAAGTGGATCATGGAAAATTTTAGCAAAAAATATATTTTGAGAAGGTATGAGTTGCTTAAAACGCTGTGTTGCATCTTAATCTTAACTTCAGCATTTGCTATCAGGAATGTGATAATAACTTTATAATTATCTATAATATCAAAGAATTTTCTGTTCAACCTACTTAAAGGTAATGCAGTGTGAGTCACTAAAAATTATGAAACTGAATTGCCGTTTTAATTTCAGGATATCATTACCTTAACTTGCACGACCCAGGTATATCCAGCTAGGAAGGAAGTTTTCTTTTATATATATATATTTATATACACGTATATATTTACATAGACCTTTGGAAAAACAGACTCAATAAAATTTAACATCCCCGATCTTTTGGGTAGTATAGTACTGGACACTGAGATGAAGTTACTCCGTGATGCTTCTCTTCCCATCTGTTATTTCTCTCCCTGATTCTTGGCAGTTTTTCCAACTGACAACTCAGCGGTGAAGGTCTGAATCCAGCGATCTGAGTGGGTGATATCTATCAATCTTGTGCCACACGTATGCAACATTGCTAGGCAACAGGTAGCAGCATGACACCCACATTCTGCAATTTCCTTTTGGTGACTGAGACTTTTACTATATTAATTATACTGAACTTTATTTCATGTATTTCAGGCATTAACTTCTACGGAAAATATTTTTAAAAACTCTGAGCTAAGATTACTTTCTGTTGCATATTGAATGAACAAATATTGGCAACTGATAAAGTCATCATTCCAACAATTGCTAGATATGAATGTGGTGCACAAAGCCTTCTAAAATTGCAGATAAGTGGGATATCAGATTATTTTGTGTTGAAGATAACTATGCTACGAGGAAAAATTTTTGCAAGGACTTCAAAACATAAAAGACATAAAAATGTAAAGTGAGGAGATAACTAGGGAGGAAGTTCCTTTTTTCTCTACTTGCTTTCTCTACTCTATTTTTTTGGTGGCTTCTCTTCTTCAGTGGCTAGGATGCTACAGAGGGACTAAGCTGCAGATTTACTTTCATGCCCCATCACAGACTTTTTGTGTGACCACAGGCAGATGAGGCTATGTTATACTACAGAGAGAACGCAAGTGAGCTGCACTCACTTTACTTCTCTTGAATTAGCCTAGCTTAGGAAAAATAGCCAGCCCTTCAGCGTTATTACACCCTAGCAGGTAATGTATTTTTCTATGGATCTGGGATTTCTCAAAGATGTGTTCCACAGTTATTTAAGCTGCAATAAACTGGGTCATTCTACACATTTAATTTTGAAATAATTTGCCTGTCCTGTCTGAATACACAAAGGAAATCCCTGAAATGTACTCAAATGGAGCTAGTCTATTTGTTGTAAAGTGCTTGTGTTAGCCACTGATGAGTAATAGTAAGTTCAGCTTTAGTTCACACCCTCTGAGAAACCAGCCAAATCAAATTAACAGCAGCAGCATACTCATATTCCAAGTTTTGCCAGCAGACAGAACATTGTTCGGGGCAGCCCTTGAATTACAACCCAAACTATCTTTGCAGCAAGACAAGGCTCTTTGAAGGTATGTTCAAATGATTATGAGGCAATCAAATTACCATTACTTGCAGACCTACCATTGGTTTCTATGTCTTGGCTACAGGAGTAATTTAGTATGCCAGTAACATTTATGAGAACTTGAACATAGCCTTAATCAGCTTGGGCTTCGGGTTCTCACCTGTATCACTTTATCTCCCCCAGTGTTTGTGAGATGCTCGTAACCTGTGTGTGCAGGTACATAGTACCTTGATACATGCAAATGCCATATCAAGGCAGACAGTTCCTTAACTAGCAACTTAATTTTTGCTATATTAAGATGAATGGAAAGAGGGAAGAACACTCCAAATCTTTATGTAATTTTTGGTCGACAAGACAAGTACGCTTATACGCTGTATTTTGTAAGGCAACTATTTTTATAAATGAAGTGTCTTTTAAGTGTGTCCGTGGGATACTGAGTCTCAGCATCATTTACTGGACAGGCACGGCCAGCAGTTACATGTCTGTCTGAGAGATATTTGCTGCTGTTACTCACCAGGTTTTATGTTCAGGTTACGTCTATGATGGGAATGTACTTTCTGTACAGAAATTTTATCTGTACACAAAGGGAATGACTTCAAGAATTTGAAACGCATGAAGAATTTCTTCTTTTCTCCTGCAGCTGACCTCTCCTGACATTGGCTCAACACTGCAAAGGGAAGCAAATTCCAAACCTGAACAGTAGACCTAAACTAGATAGGAAAACTGTTGTACTTAGCTGTGAGGTGTATCAGGAGGAAAACAAGAGAACAGTTGCTTCAGAAGACATTTCTCCTCTCCATTTAGACTTAAAAATCGATTCTGGGATAGTACCAGATGGGTAGCTTGCTTTGAATGCATTAAGTTCTCCTGGATGATGGGTGGGCTCCACAAAGAAACTCCAAGTGGACACACTGTCTACTAGCTCAGAGCAGCAGGTCAGGAGACAGTCTGTATCTCCTTCGCTAGAGAGCAGCCTGGATGAGGTGTTGCATGAGATACCTGTTACACGTCCAGCTGCGATTCATCAGGTTGGAGAACAAGCTCTTCGGTTACCGAACACACCTTTTTAACGCTGAATCCCCCTGGCCTAGGGGAAAAAATGCAAGCTGACAAACACACGTAAAAATCTGGATGGGTTTTTGATTAGTTTGTTCCCTGTTGCTGCATGTTTTTGTGCCAGACATGAGCCCAGTAAGAGCAGAAAAGCTGCCACGTTTGCAAATACCTGTTGGTAGTCAAATAGGAGCACGACTCTGAGAGTCAGAATTTATCACTGGAAGATACCAGTTTGTTGTTTAAGCAACAGGGTGGTTTCAGTTGCCCTGTTAGTATTTGGATTTCCGTAATTTCTGTTAAGAATTTAGCAGACAACATCAAAAGCTTTAGCTTGGGGAATTCATAAGCAGGGATATGATTAATACAATTTCAGACATATTTGTAGAAGATGCAGAACTTGCTGTGGGAACTGATAATTTAATTAGATTCTGGTTTATGTGATTCATATACCTAATATTTTGAGTACTATATTAAAAAATAAATACAACTTAATTTTTCATAGGGCATTACTTTATTCTGCTTTATTTGCAACAAGCAAACAGTTGATTACATGGAAGGCACAGCTTTGATTGGCTGTAAAAATTAGGACCTCATTGTCTGTGAAATAGCTTTCAAATACAGCTAAAGAAAACAGGCTGCATATACATAAATACATAAAATCCCCAGGGAAAAATTAACACCATATTTGGGAATTTTATGTTGAATCTCACAAATCATGCAAAGTCTTGAATACCAGTAGCTTAAACAGAAAAAATGTTCTTCATAAACTATTTATGATACACGTTTCCTAAAATGTTAACTTTCAGTTTTGCACCAAGATTTAATGCAACTGGCATGAGACTTTTAAGTAAAGTCTCCCTTGTATCTCTAGGCTACATACTGTGATCAACAGAAGTGCTGGCTTTATCATTTTCATAGGCATGATGCAGCTGGAGTTCTGTAGTACTCAATGAATTTACACCAGTGAAAGTAAGAGAATCAGACCCACATTTACTAAGTAGAATAGAAATATTTCTTTATAGGTTCAGGAGTTGCTTAATACATGTCTGGATGTATCTGATACGCAGGGAAAACCAGTTTTCTCCCGGACTAACTGCATAATTTAAAATGTATATGCCCTGGATATCTCTAAAATCTAATGTAAAACGAGTTTGCTGTATTTGTGGATACCGTGAAGGTCAAAAGGATTTTATAGACTTTTTTTCCTTATTTAAACAGTGTTTCAGTGATCAAATTCTACAGATTGTTAAAACCCTGTAGCTACCTGCAACTAAGCAAAACTCTTACAATTTACAATAAAAACAGTAGCAGAGCATCATAAATCTGGGTATACAGAAATTCAAGACTTGAAGACCTAAGAAAAAAGAAGTCTTTGGCGGAAGAGACAATATTTGTATAGATTTTCCATACAAAGCCTAGATCACTCCCCTTCCAATTGCCTCTAGAAAGCACAAAGAATGTTATGTATGCTATCTATTGCAAACAGGTAGTAATATTTGTTATAGTCTTTTAGAACCAATTCCATCCAAATTGGTGCCTCTGCAGAACCCCAGCTGCTGTTTTTTGTGTCAAGGAAGAAAGAGAAGTGCAGCAGGTAAGCTGTAAAACCACACATGTAGTGAATCAATTCTGCACTGACTTGTGCAGCAGAGCGCTGGGAGGAAGCCGTCATGGGGCGGCTGAAGCTGGGCTCCTACCGCTGTGAAATAACTTGTGTTGTAAACCTGCCATGCACGAGGAAGCAGAGAGACCAGAGATATGTCCCAAACGGACCCATTTCACAGAATTCCTCCTTTGTAAAGCGCCCGTCGATGCTGCAACTGGAATCTGCCCGAGTCCGGATGGTTTCATGCTTCAGGAGAAGTGGACGCAAGGGTGCAGTTGCAGAAGAAAAGAGCAGTATGATGAAGCTGTCCCTTATTTTCTGAGAGGCCATAACAACTGAAAATATTTCTTCCAGCAAGTGTCAGGATTTTTTATTTTGTTAGAAAATTCAATAGGATTCAGTATGTTTACGTGCATGATTACTTCGTCTTTGTTTTCAATTTTCAGATATAATTCTGAAAGCTACGTTTCTAAAATTCAAAACACCAGAAGTATTTTGGCACTCAGAAGACATCAACATCTTAAAAAAAAGCTTGGCTTTCATTTGTCCTGCATTGTTAACGGTTGGACTTGATGATCTTTAGAGGTCTTTTCCAACCTTAATGATTCTATGATTCTATCTTTTCCCATCCTTTACTCCTCATCAGAGTGGACAGAGAATGCTACCAGATTGCAGGGGTGACATTTTGCTTATGCACAGGGCAACTGACAATAAAAAAGGCAATATAGCTGTGTATTGGGCATATGTGGATTTTTTCCCAATGCTGTATGGTTGGTTCAGCTTCACAGAGTGATGATTTTCTATTTGCTTTTAAAAAGCTAGAATTATCTTGAAGCTATTTAGCCATAAAATTTCCTCAGTACATATATGCATATACAGATAATATAACTAGAAGACAATGAAAGGAATAGCACAGCTTGATTTCTTATTTCTGTTGTTGAATTGTTTCAAGTTCTCTTCTTGGAGGAAGATGTGTTTCTAATAGTTCCAGTTGGAATATACAAAGCTAATGATGTACATTGTTAATGTACAAAACAGATTTCCTATTACAAGGAGCCTTAGACAATAAACATATAATGAGTCCGCAAGTAATTTCTCACTGAAAGCTAACGGTTCCAGAGTCCTTGACCTAAGTGTGGGACTTTTTTGTCAAGATGGCCAAAGCCATCACAAGTACATAAATTGAAAAAAGGCATAATGGCTATATCAATATGTCCAGAAAACTGTTCAGACTCATGAATGCAATCTGCAGTAAGATCAGCCAAGGTCATCACCAGATGTTTCTTGTCCCACATGCCACAGCTTGATTGTATTGTAATTAATTCAGCTCAGAGGTCTCTGCGAGAACCGTGTTTTCAGCACAATTTCAAGCTTGGTTTCAAATACCGGAAATCATTTCTGATTTCTTAAAACATCCTAGACAAATGTGAAACTCTGCAGTTAAAGTATGCCAATGAGTACTTAGAAAAATTGCATTTAAAGAGCATTAAAGGAGTATTCTCAAAGTAGTTGTGAGTAAAGCTAGACCTTTGGGGTTCAGAGACTTAGGCATGTGTAGCACAAAGGCTTAGGGCCTTATTCAGCAAACTATTTGCCCCAGACCACACTGCAAGTTCAGAGGTACAACAGAAATTTGAACTTGGGTTCCTGCACCAAACCATAGTAGTATTTATCCAGTTAGCCATCCATAATATGAACAAACAAAAAAATCAATATTTCCCAAGGTACTTTACAGCTCATCCTCCAGCTTTTTATGGCATATCGGACCAAAAACCTACTATATTCTTGTTGTGAAGAAAGATGCTTTCAGTTATTTAAAGTTTGAGGTCCATTTAAAAATGAATTTCATTAAAGTCAGGTACTCACAGGCATGAAGTTAAGACATAAATAAAAGAGAACATATTTTATCGTAATATACCACTTTATTTTGCTGCAATATTTGCAGAAAGAACACATTGAAATGCACTTCCAAACTACTTTAAACCTAATTCTGGACAATACAAGCCTGAGACAAAATGAGATATGTTAAAAATTATGGTTCTGGTTCCCAGAGGTATCGACCACCAAAGCCTATATTTAACTTCAGGTAGAACTGTGTTCAACATGTCTGAAAATTGGGCCCTAAATTAAAGATAAGTGTTTTTACCTGGGTAACATCCCTATAAGTACCACCCACAAATTATATAGTGATAGTTGTTCCCATAGGAAAATTGTCTTTTGGATTATTTTAAGATAAAAGCACAGACCAATGTCAGCCCTCTTACAAGCTGCATACTAATGCGAGGAGGGGAAGGAAGGATTTATTTGGAATCTTCTAATTGACCTCAGTGGAATTGGGCCTGGACCCATTAAAACATTTATGAAAAGCAGTTATGGAGCATGAATAGTACCCAATCTAAAACATTAATGTCTAGGTAATATTAAAAGTAATCTGTTTAAAAATAGCAGGGAGGAGCAGGAGCCCAGTTGCATTAAGGACTAAATTCCTCCAACTTTTTGTTGGTCTTTTTTATCATTATTTTTTAAACAGTTACAGAGACAGAAGTTGCTGGTTTTCCTTGGGCTTCTCCTTCTCCAGCACCGGCCCAAATGTTAGTGATACTCCTCATTTTCACCTCAGTCCTGCATTATCCTGATTTTTAGACTAATGTGCCAACATATCACAGCTTCATCCTTTCTCAGGAATGACGTAGGCAGTTAAAGGCATTAAAACAAAGAGGCCTCCAAAATTAATGTGTTTTGCAGGAAGCAAGCGTGGGGGTATCCAAAGCCAGAGGGTATGTTCAGAATAGGGGGATTCAATTCCAGGGTGTCACAAAATGTTCTCCATCACCACAGCATGGCAGCAACCTGTTCTTAATTCTATGATAGATGCTATAAATATGCCACTTACTCAGAGTTATTGGGTATGGGAACATGCAAATCTACCAATAATGCAAAAGCCTGTGCTTTATGAAGGGCACAGCTACCAGAGAGGTAACTCTCTAAAGATTTAACAGTAGCTGCGTAACTCCATAGCGTCTTGAGTATGAGCCTCTGCTCATGTTCATTAATCTTGATAAGAGAGGGAATTTACCTCCAATAAATATCCTAACACTAGGCCTCTTACAGCAGCTTTTCAGATAGCTCTTAGTCCAAACAAAAGCTGCCGTTACTGTATGATCCGTAGCTAACATTTTCTGCATGGAAATCGCCTAGCAAAAGTTAACCCGGTTAGCAATGGGAAATTGTGAGTTATAAATGAAAAGCAAACAAACAGATTGGTAGGAAACATCTGTGACCCTCCCTGTCCAGTACATCTTCTTTCCAGTTCCCAAAGCACTGAATTCTCCTGTGGTCCTTTACGATTTATTTCCAGAACCTCCCAAAATGAACAACGGCCATATGCACATTTACCTTTGAACGCATGAATGTTGCGTTGCGTCGCGTCTCTTCAAAGGTGGAAGAACCATGTAGTCATCCGAGAACTATAAAAGATATACTTTCAAAAAATAATGTAGCAGCCCAGCTTTTGACCAGAAAAGATCTGCAAGAGTATGTGATGCCAATGCTTCTACTGCTCTCAGAGGGACGTAGCAGCAATGTGACTGAGTCATCTCACCAAGGGCCGTGACTGCTCCCGTCCAAAGGCTGCCCATGCTGGAAGTCAATGCCTCGCCATTTGTCCCAGCCACTCTCCACAACCCTCCGCTACCTGCCTTTGGCTACCTGCAATTTTTCATGGAAGTATTTAAGACGAGCCATTTTGGAGACGAAAAGCAAAGCATTTTGATTTCAGAATTTTGTTTTAATGTCTCGTGAAAGGTGTGGTCTCAACGCTTCGTGTCCTTGTATTTAATTTGCGCTCCTTGCTTGGGTTATGTCTCACAGAGACCACTGCAGCCTGTTTCTCAGACAAGTCAAATTTTAATCAGACACAACTACTTTCCAGTCTTGTTTATTTCTCAGGGGAAAAAAAAAAAAAAAGATTTTTTTGCAGGGGTACGTATTTTTAGGGAAGAAACAAAATCTCCACTAAAAAATACCTGACGAACATTTTTCAAGTAGGCCTACTTTTTATTTTTTAAGGTCTGTTCCTAGTAAGGAATCTTTGATGCAGTCAGCAAGACTTTTCTTCTGCCTAGAAGACCTATTGATATATAGCCAAAGAGAGAGCAGAGAAAAAAATCCACTCTTGTATGTCACTGGACTCTTAATCTATTTTATGAGCCTTAAACACTACAACTCTTTGCACAGTAGAAATTTCAAAAGATCTAGAAACTCCATTTCTTCTCCTTATGTGGCTTTTCTAAATCTGAAGTTTTACCTTTCATGAATATTTTTAACCAGCACAAACCTTTTTAGACTTTTTCTTACATCTATCCTTTGTCAAGGAAGAAAGAAGCAATCCTATGAATCAGATCCCATGTGCATAATCACACAACTACACGAACTAATCGCATCCATAAAAAGTATTCGGTTCAAACATTGCTGTATAGGGAATGCTTAGCCTTAAAAATTATGCTGTTTGGACTAGCAACTTTGAATACATCTTATGAGCAATTCATCTGCACTAGTACTTTTTTTTTCTTTTTTTAACTTAAATCAGGAGACATGAGCAACCTGACAGCGTCTATAATAAGCCTGCTGATTACTTCACCTTTTGTAATTCTTGCTTCTCTGTTTTGTTTCACATTGCTGTTATACTAAGATGCACCTTGTTAAAATGTTTTAAAAAATTGATTGCCAACTAGGAAGTTTAGAGTAGTAACCTCAGCTAAGTTTATAATGAGCTTCAAATTTGTTACCCCGTATAGAGCCATCACCCGTCAGAAATAATGCAAGTTGGATGGGCTGGACTTGCCACTTAGCCTGGGAGGACTCATTTACAGCACAGATTTGCCACCTTTGGTTTTAGCCAACGAGTCATGGCCAAGCCTGGGGCTCGCCATGCGGGTGGAGGGGTGGTGGCAGGCAGTGTGGTGGCCGGGGATGAGGGATGGTGGGTGTGTGGAGATGCTGGGGACATGGGGGACACCGGGTGGTGGTAACAGGGGTAGTGCCAGGGATGTAGGGGACACCAGGTGGTGGGGACGGAGGCAGGGTACAGGATGGTGGGGACACAGAGGTGCTGGGGATATCGGGTGGTAAGGACATGGGGAACACCAGGGATGCAGGGAGACACGGGGTGGTGAAGATGCAGGGATGCCGGGGACAGCAGGCGTCTCCAAGGACACCTGGAATGTTGACTTTTGAACCCCGACACATTCCGCCTGGCACCGCAGCTGCCAACAGCGGACAGAGACCTGGCTGG